GCTTCAGGTTCTGTCAGAATGGCTGCCCAGTGGCTCCTGCGTCAGCATCACTATGCATCGTGAAAGCTCATCAAAAATATCTTCATATGTGTTCAGAAGCTGAATGCAGGTCTTACAGGTTTGGAACAAAATTAAGGCGAGTAATTAATTACAATTTTCATTTTTGGGTGAGCTAACCCTTTAATAGAACAATCTGAACAATGAGAAATGGATACACATAAGAAAATCAGAATTTTAGAAAACTCAAAAACTGGAGGCAACCCAGCTTGAGGACTGAGTATAGCCAACTTATGAAAAAAGAAAAAAGAAAATCAAGTTTGTCAAACATAATACAATTTCTGTAAGCTAAAATATATATATATTTTTTTGGGGGGGGGATCCAAGTTCAATAAGCTTATATTTTAAATTAAGCTGAGCGTTGATATAAAATAGTGACAAAACGTCCTGAGTGTGTCTACTTGTGTATCAGTTTAAGCAAACTAAAAAGGTTATGTAAAGTTACTGTCACAAACGTCCACTGAAGGCAAGTTGAAGTGAGAACCCATATGCAGTTTTTCAACTAAACAAAATAAACCTGATGAGCAAAACAGACCTGACTTGAAACATGGACGTCTAAACAAACTCACCAAGCAGATTACAAAGAACAAAACTAGACAAGAGACAATAGTTACATATGGCTATTTATACACAAAGACTAACAAGAAACACCTGAACATAATGGATCAATAGACCAATGAGAAAACAGAACTGAGAAACACATGACCAAAACAAACATGATACAAACAGGGGGATCACATGAGGGCAAGGAAATCACATGACAAACAGGAAGCAAATGCAACCATGACTACGCAATAAGACATGACAGTTAACATGAAACAAAACCCAAAACAGACGATACAAATCCTCCCTCAAAGGGTGGCTCCCGACATGCAAACAGTACAGCCACCCAAAACCCCAAAACAACACAAAAAGTCCAGAAGGGTGAAGGAGTAAAGATGGTCAGATTGGAGGGTTGGCGGGCCAGGTCCGTGAAGGAGAACAGAAAATGGATCATGGCCTGGGCCGTGGAGCAGTGGTGGGCCGGACCGTGGATCAGAGGCGGGCCCGTAGAGCAGTGGGTCGTTGAGCAGTGGATGAGGTCATGGTGGATCAGGTGGCCATGGTAGAGCCAGCAGTGATGGGGGCCACCAAGGCGGATGTGACAGCAGAGATGACCTCTGGGAATCAGGGGGCCATGGTGGAACTCAGGCCTGGACAGTCCTCCTGGCCGTGAAATAGGGTGTGGCAAGTCAGTGAACAGACTTGATGGTCATAACATGAGGGACGGCCTCCGTGGTCATCACATGGGGTACAATGAGGCGCCACCGCCTCTGGAGGAGCTGTAGCGGTTGCCACTGCCTTGGGGGAAGTGTATGCGCTGCTGATGGATGCAGGACCTCAAAGACTACTGGACTTGAAACCACAGGACTTGGAAGCACAGGACTCAGCCATGACGTGACTAGACTCGTCCACAATTCCCCCAGAAAGTGATGAGCCACATAACAACAAGGCATAGTCAATGTATTCGGCTAGAGTCCCCGAATCACCTCTCTCAGGCATCAATAATTCAAAGAGTCAACAAAAATGACAGTAATGAGGTAATTAAAATTACACTGATATGATAGTTTAATTATAAAGTAGGTCTATGTTTGAGACTATAGTCTATAGATCTTTCTATGTGGTGAGACTACAGTTTGAATGAATCCCTTTATTTTATTGACATTAAAATACAGAATAGTTATTTAGGCATTATCCTTAACATTGTATAAGCATTTGTTTCATGTGCCAGAATGGAAGAGAGAATCTTGGGAGTTTGTGTAAATGTCACATCCTTTTGATTTTCCCGGCAAAAACGTCTTTCATAGACAACCGTTGTGGGAAGGTCTCATTTTTTAAAGTTTCGTTACAAGCTGTTCACACATTGGCAATAAAAAAGCGATTAATACATGACAATTCTTACATATAGCTCCTTTAAGATATTTAAGAATAATAAGATGTTTATCTAATGTAATTTTTAAAAAAATATATCCAAGTTCCCCTGAAACCTGCTTAAGTGCGGCACAAAGTACATGCAAAAATGCATTTAATATGCAGTGCGCCAGAAAAATGTAGGAAAAAGCAAACACCAGTTAGGTTCTTGATGGTTTATTAGAACAGGAAATGATAACAGAGCACAGTCTCCATGCTCAATGACAGCCAGAACTGAGGACAAGTTTTTAAATGTAGATGTGTGCGCGCATGTGTGTTAAAGTACAGCGGAGTCCAAAAGTCTGAGACCACATTGAAAATTTGGGATTTAAAATATCATTTACACCTGAAAATAAACAAGGTTTGGTTTTTTGAGAAAATTTGAAACTTTACAGCATAACAAGAATATGATATATTCAAGATTTAGCACTTTCCAGTTCACTGATGAAAAAAAACAAAACCAATTTGTGACATTTTTCATGTGATTCTGAACAGACAAAAAAAAAAAAAAAAAAAAAAAAAAAGCCACAAGATGCTCTTTGGATAATCTCAAATCATGCTGGAGAACACGATCATCAGGTTTTACGTAAACTACATGCAGCTCGAGTGCTGCTGTCATTAAAGCAAAAGAGGGACAAACCGAATACTAGACATTCTGAAATTAATTTCTCAATTCATCTTTTCTCTTAACTTGTTATGCTGATAATATAATTTGTAATGAAAAACATTCTATTAAATAAAAAAAAGCTAAATAGAATCTTTTTAGACTTTTGAACCACACTGTCCATGTGTTTGTGATCTTGTGTGTGTGTGTGTGTGCATTTGTATTGTTGATTTGGGAAGCATGCATGTGACAATCTGATTGGTGGACATTAATAGGGCACACAGTAGCATGTCGTGTTGAAGTACACACTACCTCTGTTTTCCCCAGACCGAGGCTGTGTTCATGCAGATAGTTCACTTAAATTACATTTAAGCACTGAAACCATTATGTACACTGAAGGGGACACGGCTTGTCATTTAATGACAATGAACCCAGTAACACGAACAGCCTCCGGTGCGAGACAAATCAGAAGTCCATCACAGTTAACAGAAGACTTGGCTCTTTTGCAAAAGTGTTTTTCCTCTTTCATTCAGGAGAAACATCTCCCATCCATTTTTTTTTTCTGAGAAAAGGCTTTGCACAGTTCATGAACCAGGATCAAACACTGAAATTCAGGTCACAGTCGAAGAATAATCATTGTCATTGTTGAAAAAAATTCACACACCAGAAAGCAAATCAAATCACTTTCATGAACTCAATAAACCAACCTAAAACATTACCACAAAACAAACAAATAAACAAATATAAAAATGAAGATATCAGTACTGGCTAATATATTCTCTACAACTTTACAAAAAAAAATTTCAAACTCTGTTTGTGCTTGTCAGATGTCAGGTTTTGCAAACTGAAAGCATGTCATTTCTAAACAAACCATTTCTTTCTTTGTGTTTGCGCATTTCGTCGGGTGGCCCATTAGCTGTGGCAGTTTGTGGCTGGGGGGCTGTCAAAAAAAAAAAAAATCTCAGGGCTTTAAAAGACAAAGCGGAGAAAGAAACAGCCCAGACAATGAGAAAGCCTGGAGCGCACTGTCCTCACTGTTCATAGGCAGCATTTTAATTGGAAAATTGAGAGTAGGGAGCTTTCTAAAACATAGCTAGATATATTTCTGTCCAAACAAATCCATAGCAGAGTGTTTATGGCCGACTCCATTTCTTGCTTGAGAGAATTACGACATCGGAAACAGTGAAACAACCCTCGTTTATTTTCTTTTCCCCGGCAAAGCATTTTATAGAGCTCCACAGCAAATTAACTCCATTTCACCGCCTCAAAATCTTGTGCGAATTAACCCAGACTGTGTTTAGCGATTGCATACAGGGTTTCACAATAACTTTGACCTGCGCTTGCTGCTAGTTTCTGGTTTGTTACTTATATGGGATGATGCGGTCGGGAAGATGATTCGCTGCTTGAGTTTTGCTGCCCATATCTCAGGCGATTGCTTTGTAAAACCTGGCTGCGAGTAAGCAAGTGGGTGGCTGCATATCTGCACGTCTCTCACGATCATCTCTAGGGCTAAGACAGACTTAGAGTAATCACGCATGTTTCGCCTAATGGTGCAACAGAGTGAAAAGCCGAGAGAGGGAAGCAGGGCGAGAGCGTGCATGGGTGGGCAGACCTTTTTTCAGCATGTAGTCTGTGTGAGGGAGGGTGGAAAAGTTTGAAAACGAACAGAGCTGGTGACAGCATCAATTAAAAAACTGCATCAATAATGTTGATTGTGTAAAATAATTATACAGTTTGGAACTCAGTCATGCATTGGCACTTAAAACCCATAAATTATGCACTTCAATAATGGCTTTAATGTTCAGCTTCAGCGGTTTCATCAATCCACATTGAAAAGAACGCACTCCTACCCTGTGCTCATATATTCTCTCTCTATCAGCGACTCACCAGTGTTTTCATTTGGAACACGGCCTGTTTTTAAACCAACATACACTTAGTGCTGAAGTCTTGTTGATTATGGGACCATCAGACAATTCGTGTCAAACTCTCTCATGGACCATTTTCACATTTTTGGGTTTGGTACGTAAACAATAGCAGGGTAGTCTTATAGGGAAGTGCATGTGAGACCAAAGCAAATTTTTCCATTACTATTTGTTTCAACGGTTTACATGACTTTCTCAAAGAAAATTAAAGGGGATAGATAACAGCAGTCAGAAAGATGTCGAATTGACCCGCACTCCTTCAAAACACGTATTTGAAACCCCATAGCAACAGGGTTTAATGCCAGGTAAATAAAACGCAAAGTATAGTGTAATATACTACTGTTTAAAAGTTTGGGGCCAGTAAGATTTTTTTAATGATTTTTAAAAAAATCATTCTTATGCTGATTTAGGCTTCATTTGTTTGATAAAAAATACAGTACAATATTGTGAAATAGTATTAGCATTTAAAAAGAAAAAAAGAAAAAAGTAATTTATACCTGGTATAGCACAGCTGAATTTTAAGTAGCCACTACTCGTCTTCAGTGTCACATGATATTTTAGAAACAATTCAAATAAGCTGATTTGGTGCTCAAGAAACATTTCTTATTATCAATGTTGAAAACAGTTGTGCTGCTTGATATTTTTGTGAAATTCAAAAGAACAGCTCTTGTTCGAAATGTCTTTAGTGTCACTTTTGACCAATTGAATGTGTCTGAAAAAAAAAATTCTTATGTTACTCTTAATTACTCATCTCGACTCACACTGTGAAAAGGGTCCATTGAGCACTGAGTAGAAAAATCCTGTAATGCGCATTACTGCCCTCTAGTGGACACACTCAGTTAATGCTAGGTGAATTACTGGTGCCCCACGGGAAGAAAGCAGAGATAACGTCGTTTACTGAGAGGTGAATGAATTGAATAGTACACTATTTCTTTCATGCCTCTCGTGGGGTTTACAACCCTGAAACAAACAAACAGAAATCCAAAGAGAGCCAGAGGAAACTGAACAATGGCTGAAGTGGGCACAGTGCCACCGGGAGCCCAGTGGGTTTGAATTTTTTTGCTTTCCATCTAAATGTAACATTGTATTCATCTGATTCTGTGTGGCTTGTGAAGGCTGGCAGTGAGGGGGGACCCGATCTGTCTGGCTCCTCATTGACATTCTCCTGGGCTTGGCTGATGGCTAGGCCATGACTCTTAACGGCTATTTGTTGTCGGGATGGTCTTGTCTGACTGGGCCGCACAAAGAAACCCAGTGTCAGTGAGACACTCAGAATGCAGCTCCCTAGTGGCCCGGCCCAGCCCAGACAACCGAGCTCACATTTGACTCAATGGACTGCAGAGAACGAAGCCAGGCCGAGTAAAAGAAAGAGAAAGTGTTGCAAATGCTCTGCTCTAATTCTAACATGTGTAGGGGATAAAAAACGCATTTATCTTGGTTTTGAAGATAAACCACAAAATAAATGGGTCAAGCCAACATATGCCCCTGTACGCAATATAAAGTCATTTCCACAGTGCTTCCCTGCTCCTTCCAGAAAGCATGGGTAGATTAATCCATGATTTTTGGCGAATGCTCTTCTCCATCACCCATTTACATCTGATATTCCAGCACACAATCTTTCGATAAAGTCACATGGCAGTTTTCTTGATTGCTTTCTGACACTTAATAGGTAAGGGAGGGAGGGGTTGTCAGTCATTTGACATCAGATCACTTACGAAACTACAGTGAATTTTGCGTTCACATCAAGTCTGGTCGACAAGCACATTTTGGCGCGGCTCACATACACACACGCAAACAGACAAAAGGAAGTTTGAGCTTGTCTGCAAAGGCCCGGGACGCACACAAAAGAAGCATCCACAGGCTCAAACGTAAAGCAAGAAAGAGGTGAAAACGAAACGGATCACTTCCATTGAATGGTTTACAGGGCGTGAGATTACAGAGAGACAATCCGCGACCGCTTCGGTATGCTAAACAGTCAACATACCCATTCGCAGGATTATGATTATGTGTTTCACCTCCCATCACCCATCACATCCGTTATTCCCAAGCGATCCTTCCGTTTCATTAGACAGGGCGTGATAGAAGCCGCAAACGTGCTAAGTGGCGTCAACCCTCAGGCTGGGGAGGACAGCAGCTTTAACACCATCAACGCTCTTATTCTCTCACTCTGTAGTTCTAGAGCCACTGGTGGGGGACTTGAAAGACACTGGATGGCAGTGAGAGAGGACAGGAAGGGCAGGATTACAGAAGGAGTCTGAGTCTTGGGGGTGATGGGACTCTGAAGGGTGTGAACGGCCTGGACCACTCATTGGCCATTAGGGTTGCGCTCACTTACACTTTTCACCAGCAGGTGGCTGTAGTCCTGTAGCTCATTGAGCCCCCGCTGAGTATGGTGACCTGGCCGTACTAATGCTGCATTAGTACGCGGCTGTATCGGATACGGGTGGTGGCCAGAAGGAGTCGCGTTGTTGCTATTGAAGTTGAGCCCGTCGCGGGACCATCGCAGATGTTCACCATAGTCCGTCTGCGTGGTCGTGGTAGGAGCCGACACCACCCTCCTGCGGTCAGGGGAGTCTTGAGGTGTCGTCGGATAGTTGTATTCACCGGTAGAGTTGCGGGTAGGCGGGGCGGTTGGTTGCCCGCCCTGATCCCGCTGATTCGCAGGGTGGGAGAGGATAAGGTACCGCTGCCGCTCCGAATGCGGGGGAACATCGCCCGATCCCTCCTGCCGCCCACCCTGCAAGTATTTGGAGCTCAGGTAAATGACCGCAGAGTTCGTCGTGCAGGGTGTCCCTGTCTGGGCCAGGAAAGTATGGCTCTGGTCCCAATCACAGTCTGTGAGATGAACGTTTGGAGTTGGACGTTTCTGCTGCAGAGGCGTCTGTTCTGGAGTGGGAAGTCCTGGGTCAATATCTCCAGATTTTGGCCAGCCGTTGGTGAACAGATTCTCAACCTGCGAGCGGGGTCGTTCGCTGCCGCTGATACGAGTCACGCTGATCACGGAACCGCTGCGACCGCGTCCAAGCACGCTTTGCTCCTTGTCACCCTTGCGCCGACTCCCCAAACCAGATTCACCGGCTCTGGAACGTTGGCGGTGCTTGAGGCTCATTATCCAACACACCATCAGACCCGACAGCGCCGCCCCGGTGGCAAAAGCTGAAACTGCAGACACGACCAGCAGGTTCACGGACACCAAGCCATCTGGTTCCTCGATGAAACTCTCCTGCAGAAGACCTGAACACATGGAAAGAATAACAGAAGTGAGCATAAAACACATTCATACCTAACAATGAATCACAAAATTAAATTACCTTCAGTTAATTTTTTTTCCAGCAAAACAAAAGAAAAAGAAATGAATGCACGAATGAAGGAAAATAGCAGACTAATCCACTACCTAAAGTGGATGTTCATTTTAACTGCTGTAATAACAGTCTTCCTGATTGAAAGCATCTATCATCAATTACGTGTTTTGGAACATTAACTCTCAAAAACGTCTAACACTGAATAATTCTGACAATTATTGAAACTTTTAAGCTGTATTTACAGATTCAAAAGTGCCCTGGGTGTGATTGATCTGGAGTAAAGAGGGATCATGAGAGCAATGGATACCATTCACTTCTGAAATGACAGATGACTTAAGTTCTCAGAAGAGCACCAATTAATTATTGATGATGAGAAAAAAGGTAAAGCATAAAAATAGTGCTGCAGCAGATCAATTAGGAAAATATCGGTTAGGTTTTTTTGTTCTATGGAGCTCAAACACCATGGACTGTTATAGATAAAACTGCAAGTGAGCCAAAATTACAAAAACCATCCCTTCAAGTTTAGGGTGCAAAAAAATAAAATAAATAAAAAATAAATGTTGTTGAAAAAATAAGGTTCATGGAATGTTTTTGTTCAACTACCAAACATGTAAATCTATAGGCAATTTCTTATTAATTTGAGAAAACTAAGAGATTTCTTACAGTGACTCACAACAGTAAGAACCAACATCATAAAATGGCTCAGCAGATGAAACGCTCTTGAAACAAATTAATTTAACTGGCAAATTTATCACAATAGAGATTAATGGTAAGCATTTCACATTGGTGAAAATAAACAGCCTTAATTAGCACTTACAGCTGTTTGTTTAAGAACTCAAATAAAATGAGAAGAGAGGAGAGAGGCACAATCAATAAAAATGTTGCTACGATAATTAGCTCATAATAGCTGCCTCAATGTGGGTGTTTGCGTGTACAAAGAGTCCGCCGAATTAAAAGATACATTAGCCGCAGTTGGGCATCAGGGAAAGGAACTGTACAACATGTACCATGTCGGTCATTTCATTGGGAGATGTTGTGACAGAGTGCCTATCAATGTTCTGGTGATATACATGTTTACTTCACAGTATTCATTTTGGAGAGACAGACCACATTACCGAAATGACACTTCAAATCAATCAATGCATTCATGTGGATGCTGAGTCAGTGTCTGTACTTTCTCTCTCTCTCTTTCTCTCGCACAGTCTCTTTCTACCCTCCCTCCATTTGTGTTTATCTCTGTCTCTGCCCTGCTACCGCTCTGTCTATTTTGTTTATGGTGTGGGGGCATTATATTTATTCTATCGCAGACAGATACCAGGTGTGTGTATCTTTTCCCAGCAAGCTAACTGCTGTCTAAAGAGCAGTAAACTATTGGTTTTTGTTTTTGTCATCTTTATGATTAAATTTTTGGCTGCCACTGCCGGTGTGTGGCTGCATTGCCCTCTAGAAGTTGGATAAACATCATTGGCATGGGGCGGTTCTTGTCACGAACCACTGCCTAAAACAGTTCTTGTTTATGCTGTTGCAGCCCACTTGTCATTCACGAGGGCCCCATCATACATCAGGAACGGGGTCCTGAAAGGATGTGGTGAGCGGGGTGGGATGCTGGGATGATGCTATTTTCTAAGTTGTTTATGTTCATGCATTGTGGTGTTTACTTTCAGTGGCATAAGGCAACGGGGTAGAAGATGAAGTTATGTTTGAGTGCTTGAAGACTTCTCTGTGCGACACACTTTGTGAACTTTTCAAACAAACTCTGGAGCAGAAAAGAACGAAAATTCAAATGTGCCAGTAACACATTACTAGTATAAGGTAATCAACATTAATCCACTAGGTATCATGAACAAACGATTAAAAGCATTTTTTAAAATCATTTTAATATACATATTTAACTGACAAATTGAATTAAGATTTACATTTACATTCATGCATATTTACAATTACATTTATGCATGTTTAATTAAATATGAAGTATAATATTTATATATAAATATATAGCACAGCAACTTTGTTATGATATTTTCAATGTACCATACGTAATTCTAATCTTGCATACTTAATAGATTAGATTGGTATGCGAATGAAGATGCCTTCAATGTTTCAACTATAAAACAAAAATACATCCTGATTTGCTATTCTGTTCCTCTTCGCTAGTAATCAACTGCAGTCAAGTCAAAAATCCTAAAACAATACTGTAATGAAATACAGTTACACAAGTACTTTACACCCCTGCTAGTGTATTAACTATTGTTAACAAACTTAACCTTATCGTAAACTTTATCTGTTGGAAGCGCACCTGAGGTCATGAGAACTCACAGAGAGCCTGACTCTCTAAAAACACAATTTCGTTTGCAAGCAGTACTAAAACACACATCAAACGCTCTTTGTATATACGCCGCTTTTTTCTAGGCGAAGCCCTGATGGTGCCTCAGATAGATATTACTCAAACCACACCGGCCTTTCTCTTTAATGAAAGAGACGTATTAAAGCATCCGCCTGTCTGGAGGGCCACCTTTCATTCGTTCTCTCCTCTCGCCTGCAATGTGTCCATCCTTTTTTACAGTAAGAAGATGGTGCATGCATGCAATGAATAGATTGAGGCCATCATAGATGTTGCTTTTGTAGTCACTTCGCTTTGTCGTGACGGGAAACAAAACACACAGACGAGAGCGGACGAAGGGGGAGAGATAGTCTCAGGCACTGTTTCTTTCTTTTCGTCATTCCCGACGGGGTGACAGAAACCCCCTTTTTCCCCATTCACTTATTAAAGCTTAATGGAAGGCAGCCGGACTGTCAGGCTGAAGCGCAGCAAGCACGTCTTGAGCTGGAAGCTCCAATTACATGCGAACAATGGTGGTGGAGCAGTCTAGTTAAAGTTGGTCTTCAGAAGGCAATAGGCCAAGTGCTAAAAGACTCAGAGCCCAGGGACTAACTGCCTTGCTTTTGCCTCTTTTTTCCCCAGGTCTATTCACTAGCAGTTTGATGTTTGTTGCTTATCGCACTCCATCTCTTTGCACATCTTCTCTCTCTCTCTCTCTCTCTCTCTCTCTCTCTCTCTCTCTCTCTCTCTCTCTCTCTCTCTCTCTCTCTCTCTCTCTCTCTCTCTCTCTCTCTCTCTCTCTCTCTCTCTCTGCCACGTCCTTTCATCTTCTGCTGGCTGGCTGTCTCCGGGGACGTACCCTTATTCTTTTATTCCCTGTATCACTCTATTGCTCTCAGTCTCTCTCTCCTTTTCAACCTGTAAGCAGAAAGGCGGCTAATGAAATGCTAGCAGGTTTCAGTTTCTTGTTGAGATCATGTCATTAAAAACCTCAGGTGGAATATAGATTTTCTTCTAGCAAATAAGCAACCTTCTCAAGGTTTATTAATTACCCGATCTTCTAGCGCGGGGTGAAACAGTTTAGTGTGGTAAAAACAGGCCTTTATCAGCTGTGCTTATGCAACAAACACTTATTCATGCAGTAGTTTCTGCACTACGTTAGATGCTGTGTGTGTGTGTGTAGTGTTTCATGTTAGCACGAGGCCTTACATGCGAGCGTGTGCATTTGTGTGTGTGTATCAGTGGCTTATGGTTCACTGACTTTACTCATTATCTTTTCTGTTTCTATCTCGGTCTTCTCTGTATTCTCTTCCCTTTGCTCTTGCTCTCCCTCTCTCTCTCTCTCTCTCACACACACACACACACACAAACACACACACTTTCCCTTCTCTGCAGAAACACTGCAGGCTATTCTTTGTCTGCATATCCTCTCTCTCTTTCTGGTTCTCGACATGTCACCCATCTTTTGCTGTACTCATGCCTCACTGTTACCACAGCTTTGTGTTAACCATGTTGAAAATACCAGCATTTCTGGTCAACAGATTATGTTGCGTTGTAGATACTGGTATGTTGGTGTCCATAGAAAGAGTCTGAAATTTAAGTTGTTATTCAGTGAGCTTTTAACTGCTGCTAATGGAACTTGAATCAATTCAGTCCAATTAATGTGAAATTAAATTAATTCATGAATTGTACATTGTTATTTCTCTCATTAAATCTCATGTGAGATTTTGTCAATAATGATTTAAAATTTGGTCTGTTTTTCCACACAACATAGCAAAAGAGTAATGTGAACCACTTGTGCTTCAGTTTCATATTTTTTACATATTTTGTTTTCTATGGAAGAAATAAGTCATACAGGGTTATACTATTACCTTGAAGGGATAGTTCACCCAAAAAAGAAAATCCTGTCATCATTTCTCACCCTCAAACCACCATGAAATGACGTCATTAAATTCCAAAACAACATTAGACCCCATTGACTTTCATTGTATTAAAAGAAAACTTCTCTGTTCCATAGATACAAAGTAAAACAAGCTTGAAATGAAATGACATGTGGATGAGTAAATAATGACAGAATTTTCATTGTGGGGGTGAGCTGTCCTTTAAACTAGCAAGCCTACCTCGGTCAACAAACTTAATGAGAAAGACCGGCTAAATCAGCACAAACATTACACTAGCAAATCCAGTCTTGTCAGCAAAAGCTTCCAAAACAAAATATGCTAACTTTTTAAACACGTCTGGTTCCAAGCAGAGTGTTTACAGAAAGATAGTAGTGAAGACATTTATGGCTTCTTAGCTTACACTTTTAAAAAGCCAAACTCTCAGATCAATATACAGCTGGCAGGTTTACATACGTCTGCATGTGTTCTCAATTAACTCTTCTATAATTTTCAATAAGCGAGAGCTGCTCATAGCCTACTATAACACTGCAATAAGGTGAAAGGCTTCCTGGCACCAGTTCAGGGTTTCTAATTCCAACATAATTGTGCACGCTACAGTCCACAATGTCTGACGATGATTAACATGAGACTAAATAGAAGGGACTGTTTGAAATAACGAGGGCTGTTGAGCTGGGGGCGAGCTCAGGATATGAGTCGCCCCACCGGAGCCGA